CAGCTAGTGATTCATAACTCTTTGTTATTAATGATCAATCATTACATAGATATATTTTTAATGCTTACATGAGAAAGTTCAAATATTCCTCACCTTGGGAACACTGTATACTCCAATTCAGTGTTGTCTACATCATCTTCGGTGCTGCCCATCAGAGGTGAACCGGATCCTGAGGGTGACATTGTACCTGTTTGATTTTTTATTAATCATTACTAAATAGACTCTTACAATTATATACATCATCTTTATCAGCCCACGGACGTCCACAATTGTACATAGGCCTCCCACAATGTACGCAAAAAGAAACAATAATTAGATGAGATGCAGATTCATCTTAGCCAAAGGATTTGTCAACTCCACACGTTTAAAACTTACAAGTTCACTATCTATTGGAAATACATATTGTGTATTGTTTCCATCTTGATAAGGCATATAATTGGTTATGTATCATTAATTGAATAACAAAAACTCAGTGCCCTAACACAATTGGAAAACCTATGTTCAATAATTAGCACAAAAGCACTTGGCTCTTAAATTCTCTATCCCAATCTTCAAAGCCAACCTCAATTTTATTATTTCAACATTCAACTCCTGTCTAAAGAGCCGATGAAGGATACTAATTTGGCTATTTAAATGCTACTGAGATTTTTTTTTATTGACCTTGTAGGCAAACAAGCATACGGCCCACTTGATGGTGAGTGGTTATCGTCGCCCATGGACTTCAGCAATGCTAGGAGCAGAGCCAAGCCGCTGCTACCGTTCGTATCTTTATAAACAGACTGCAATATGATATTATTACGATGCGAAAATGGAAGTTTGTTATTCAATTTACCTAAAGTACTTTCAGTAGGTTTCAGACTGGCAGGCGGATGTTTTGTCCCGAAAGCAGTCAAAATGTTCTCAACGAGGCACTTGCACCAAGAGCACTCCACCCACCAACGTTCATTTAGGGCATCTTCTATATAAACCTTTGAAAGAATTGTAGATAATTAAAGTTTTTATATGTACGTCTATCTACGATCTGTATGCAGCGTCTCCTCGAGTACTTCAGACGTGTGGCCCGACGAAATCCTGACAACTTGGAAAAACTAATAGTTGTAGGTCACGTGGAAGGCAAGAGATGTCGAGGAAGTTGCCAACCAGGTGGATATTGTCAAGGAGGCCACAAACACCAGCGTCCCGGGCGCCATTAAGCAGGCAGCATTGGAGAAAGCTGGTGTAAAAACTAGACCAAGGTGGTCACAACCCTCAGTAATAAGGAAGCAACGAAGAAGAAGAATTAATATGGAGAATTTTAAATAAAACTAACCTTTATAAATATATCTGGCCAATTCGTACTATCTCTGTGACCAGCATACAACATATTACAAGCCAGTACAAACACAAGAGGGTTGCCTTTGTTCTTGAATGCAGCTCCTTGTTCCCTTTTTAGCAGCGTACAGAGGCTCTGAGTAACAGTGTCATGAGCAAACATATTGGGTCTTATTTTTGTCAGGTATAGGAGACTCATTGCCAGTATTGGATCTGGTTTTGAACGCTGAGATTTCAAAAGACGTATGGAGCCTGTTAATAAACCCAGCTGAAAAAAATTGATTTTTTATTTATTAGCTTACCTTTTTCTAAAATTTAAAAGACTACAGTTTTTTTTAGTATTATAGGCAGGCACATAAGCATACAATCAATTTTAACCAAAAGGTTCACTGGAGCTCATGGACATGAGCATTTACTATTGGTGTTCTTATAAATTTAGTATTTCTGTCCCGAGAGTGTCAAGTGTTCTAAAGTGAGAGGCCACAGTTCTGACTTTTGATTCTCAAGATCCAAAGGACTCGTGTTTAATAGAGTATAGGGAATGTCTTAACAGGAATGACTTGCAACACCAATAAAATGTGTTGAATATATGATTTAATAGTGAAAGAAGTATTTTAATACAAAACATTATTGTGTGAATTAAACTGCTTCTTGGTGGATTTTTAGTATTAAAATATTAATTGTGTTATGATAAATATTTATTAATTAGGAAATAGTCTATTGTCTGATTATTTAGGTACTCTTAGCAAGACTTTCACTCTTTTTATTCTATACCAAACTATCATCATTAAATATTCTTATTAAATAAGCTTTAACATTGAATGAAGTGGGATAAATGTGATCTAAATTACCAGTTTATCAGAATTGTGAGTGTCCAGAGCTTGTAACACATTAGGTACAAGGTCAACAGGGTCTACTTCCAAAGACGTTCCCCCAGTAGTCTCAGCAGGAGATCCAATCCTTGAACGCTTACTTGGAGGTTGACTACCATAGCTTGATGCATCTCTTTTACGATCTGCTGCTGTATATTTAAAATATTATTTAATAGATACATAAATTCATGTCATTTATTATTAAAGTAGAACTAGTGAATTTATCTGCACTCATTGAATGTTGAGTATTCTAATATATTTATGAGAATTTAATGTGCTTACAAAATATTGACACATTTCCTAGGATTTTTTATTTGTATCTTACTAAGAAACAATACTAGGAAAAAACATGGGTTTTCTTTACATAAATAAAATAAGTTATCTCTTTTTTAATTAAGGACCTTTGTGTATTCCTTTATGAATTCTTAAGTATAATAACACACAGTCCATTGTTACAAATATATAGGTTTTAGAAAATCATCTATATCAATATCTCTATCAATATCTAAAAATATTTGTACGGTAAAAATATTCTCTAGTTTTTTTAATTACTTCAAAGCCTTAACTAAGTCATAGGAATATTAAACAAGCCAAGCCTGCTGACTTTTGATTCACTGGTTCTTCTCAAAACAGTGTTTTTTTAACCATCAGTAGAAATAATATATTTCAATGATATTTAAGTTCATCTAAAGTTTGTAAGCAGCCTGGTAAAATCTAATAAAAAACAAAAATGCCATACAAGTAATTTTGATTTTGATCTTAAATTGAAATAAAAATAACAAACTAAATTTGATCTATCTTATCTTAAATTAGATTGAACAAAAATAACAAAATAAGAATTTAACATACAATACGAATATTCACTTAAACTTTAGCCTCATCCAAGTGTCCACCTTTTTCTTTAATTGTCTACTTGTTTTCTACGCATTCTAGGTAGGTCTTTACTTGTAGCACAGTGGGCACTTGGATCTAATGTCTCACTGGGTTAAGAATACATGAAAATTCTCACACTTAAGAGCTTGAGTGAATTAAGCACTTTCAAATAAGGAGTCTGAACTATTAACTGATTTCTGACAAAAAAAGGACATATTAACCGCTAGTGGAAGGCTTATGAATATTTCTCTTCTCGGCATCTCTAGAAACCACGACGGTGGACTTAGTTCCCAATGCAAAGATATCTTGAGGGTGCTGTGGTGCCTTGCTCTTTGCTCCGCGCCCTGTAGACGGCATTTTACCACGATCCATTACTTACTTTAAATAAAATTAAAACAAACGGAGGAAATATAAGCTTTATACTATTTAACATAACTTTTAAGCAACATTGACTGAATTCTGCGCGTTTATTTCAAATCTAAACAAAACTAATCATGACACCGCTTCATCCTGTCTACTGTCAGACAGACACATGCATGACACATGTATTATCATTATCTATGGACAGATACATAGATTATGCACTTTGAGAGACGCATCAGAAATTACTTAAGGTAGGTAATAAAAAGCGAAGGTTTCGTACCATACAGCCTAAACTTTTACACATTTTGCTATCTGAAAAATAGAACAATGAAATGATATAAAGTTAACATATTTGAAACTGTAATCTGAAATTGGGATGAAATTAAATGAAACGAGATAAGATGAAATAAGATTGTGAACTTTCACGGGTGTTAAGCCATTTAAACCTGCAGAAACACAAAATTAACAAAATAAAATAAACTTTGCTCCTCGAGTTCACATCAAAAAGTCCATATAACGTCTATTTATTTATATGTCCAGCAAATACATGCAAATAGTAAAATTACTTAGTGATGTGCTATTGACAATGTTCGATGACTTGGAATTTAAAATTTATTACTAAAGGTTCTTTATATTTTGACCTGAGAAAACATTTTAGTAACATTACAAGATTTACCTATCCGTACAAAACATAGATAATACACATAAATTAGTTAATGTTTTACTAGCGGTGACGTGCGGCAAAATACAAAACAACCCAAAGAAACAGGGGCGGTTTCTTAGGGGCACCTTTCAAAGTGTTACTCGAGTCGCCCTTGAGTGATCGAGTGAAATTAATTGAGATAAAATTTAATAGCAGTAGCAGTAGTTAGGTAGCAGTAAATAGGGAAAAGTTCGTAACAGCAATGTCCCCCAATTTCGTTGTACAAATTAGCATGGAACGCGGAATTTTTAATTTGTTTTCATTGACGAGCTTACAGCACGAGCACGTTGGGGTGAACGCTGATTTAAAAGGTTGTTTTTTGTGAAATTCACTAATGCGATGCCGATAATTGAAAAGAATACATTCTGTTTAGAGAGTTCAGAATTAAAAAGCAACTATATATCAGGAATCTTTCTCCTCGCGTCGTTTTCCTCATTACTAAGGGTCGTGACTCCCACACTACATCAGTTTCTCCGGTACGATTTCTCTTTATCTGCTGCGATCCTTAGCTTCATATCAGGAATAAGATATAAATTTGAATAATTGAATTCTTGAATTGAATGAATAATTTATACAATTTGACAACCGTGTTAATAATAATTATGTCTTCAGTTACAAAATGTTCAGTTGAGCAGCATTCAATATTATATTGTAGTTTGAGTTAAGCCGCATTCGTGTTTGGAAAGATATTATAGATTGTTCAACACAACGTGTAGCTACCATTGATTATAGAGATAGTTGTTATGTAAAACCTATTTTCAAATATACTTTGCTTCTGTGGGTGGGCTGTTATGGTTGAGCTGCTTAATTTAACGATCATTTAATCCATCGACAATACACCACAGATTAGTATAATAGTTCATTCGCTTGTCACAGCTCTAAATGTCAACTTTTTGACTTTGTCCACTCTTTGTTGTTTGTCAATTTCACTGTCAAAACTGAATATTCTTGGAGAAATTCCCTGATCGATAGGAATTAGAAATGTAAGTTAATATTTTAAGTTATAATGTATTATTATCTAAAAACAACGATTTATTTTAAATATGCTTATTCTAACTATCCTATAAACGATACAACTGTTAACAGAGTACTTCTACGCAGTTATGTAACTTGTGTTTGAGGTTAGATCGATCATTTTCAGATGCTCGTATCAAAACTGGTTGGTTTGAGGGCGGCGACCACTTCCATGATGGTCACTAGAAATTTAGCGGCAGCTCAGAAAGCTACCGATCCCATCCAACAGCTGTTTTTAGATAAAATCAGGGAATACAAACAGAAGAGCGCGTAAGTTGAAAACTAAAATTTTAAACCCTGATTGCCGTATTCATTTCGTCTTCTTTGTTATTCAAAGGAGTAACAAACGACCCACTCGATAAAAAAGGTGCTAAATAAATTATTTTCTAAACTTATTTAGCCTGACATTCAATATCCTTTCAAATAGAATTATAAGATTACCGAAAAAAAATTGGTAGGTACTAAGTAATTCGTGGAGTATTAAGTGAGAGTCCTGAAGACTATATCATTATAGTATTTTCTTTGGGTTTCACAACTATGTGATTGTGTTTACGACGTAGGTCGTAGTCGTAAACACAACAATATGTGTTACTTTTATGGTTAACCCTTGTCCTTTTTATTGTTACAATAATAATATTGTTTCAGATGTAAATTTTTGGACAGTAAAAAAACATAAAACTAAACTAAAAGTAGTTGTACTTATATAAAAAAAAATCATGAAAAATTACTATATTCTGATTATTATTTACAATATGGTGACTAGTTCAAAGTCGTGTAGTTTTAAGATGACCAGTTTAATAATAAATAAGTACAATAATAGGCAGTGTTATCACTGAGTGATTTCTTCAATCAATCAATGAAAAAAAAATGTGTGTCAAAAGAATAGGTAGCATATGTTAAGTGCGAATTATATTTATAAAAAAAACAATTGCTTATTTAAAGATATTAAATAGATTTGCAAAATGAACATTTATCTATATCTGATTAAATTGATATTACATCTATTATATTTTATATCTATTATATTTTTATATATTTTTTACTGGTGGTAGGACCTCTTGTGAGTCCGCACGGGTAGGTACAACCGCCCCGCCTATTTCTGCCGTGAAGCAGTAATGCGTTTCGGTTTGAAGGGTGGGGCAGCCGTTGTGACTATACTGAGATCTTAGAACTATATCTCAAAGTGTGTGGCGCATTTACGTTATAGATGTCTATGGGTTCCAGTAACCACTTAACATCAGGTGGGCTGTGAGCTCGTTCACACATCTAAGCAATAAAAAATATAAAAAAAACTGGAAAAATTGGCTAACATAAATATTATTAAATTAAAATATATACATACAACTGAGTTCAAACACTCCTTAATGTCTCTTCTGAATTATCTTGCATGTCCACTTACACAAATTAATACAATTCCAGGGGTGGCAAAGTCCCAGATGCCAGCCCTGCTGTCGAGAAAGAGCTGAAAACTGAATTAGAAAAGCTTGAGAAGCAGTATGGAGGAGGTCCCGGAATCGACATGACAGCATTCCCATCTCTGAAGTTTGAGGAACCTAAGCTGGACCCCATTGATGAACAGGCCGCCCCCAAGAAGTGAATGTAGTGTCTAAACTGAAGGACGTTTAAAGTTATAAGCGGTTACAATAAATTATTGTATTAGTTTTATTTTAGTTTTAATCTTTGTGCTATTTTCCAAAATTAATAATTATTATTACACTAGCTTTCCACCTGCATCGTTGCTTCCGTGGACTACACTTTGTATCATATGAGCGGAGATCTAAGTGGAGCACTGGAATGAAATTGTTATCTTCCTCTATGTCTCCACTTAATCCCAGGGCTGAAGAAGTATTGAAGAAGTATCATCAGAATTATTTTAGTGGACTATTGTGTTTACAAACTACAAGATGGTTTGTTTTTCAGGTTCAATACCTTCTACAATGAATACACTTATGAAACTAAACCTTAACTAAAGAAAAATTGATCCAGATCATTGTAACCGTTTTATTATAAATGCCAGTTATATGTGTGGAGGGTTAATCAGTGAACTGGAGGTCTTTCCAGGTTCACCAAAATGGGATGAGAACCAGTTTATCCAGAAGAGCAGGGACTGTGCTGTTCTTTTCAAAATATACAGATAGACTACAACTACTTTTCCATCCAAATTTAGTTTTAAATACCATATCTGTCATATTTCTACTTCTTTACCCTTATATCTATGTTTAATATTTTGTAACTAAATAAAAAAGTAGAAAATGGCTATACGAAATAACAACTTGATAGATTGAGCATCATAGCCGATTATGGAATACGCTTGGAAAGGGTTTTTTAAGTCCGGATGTTTTGGTACGCCGCCGTTGTTTTATTAATGGGAAAGAAACAACCCAAGACAACCTAAGTAAAGTTTGAGGACATTTGGGTCGAGCATAACCTTTTTTCTTTGCCTCCCAAAGTAAATGAGGTTGCGGACGCAGCTGATGGACAGTTACTACCGCCCATAAACATCGACCTTGCAGGAGAAGAGTCGTCCCAAATAATCTGCTTAATCTGGTCGGTACCTTCATCCTGACGTTCTGTTGCAAAACAATCATGCGTTTCGGTTTGAAGGGTAGGGCAGCCTGTATAAAAATTCTTATCAATATTGTGGTGCAGAGCGATTCACTGTCTATGGGCTCAATGACCTTAATATGAGTTTTTTTTCCCTGCCTATGCTGTAATCCTTGAGAGGCTATTTCAGCTTCGCCCTAACATGTAGGTGAGCTCACAGGGCTCAAACCGGACTGTTGCTAACACTGGCCCTAGTAACAGCAGTGCTTCGTAGAATCTACCACCGGATCGGCAACGCGACCCACTGAGAAGATCCGGCGCGAAACTCAGTGGGCTGTGTCTATGGGTTAATTCGCTCGTCGAGCTCTTCGTACTTCGTCGCAAGCGACGGGTTTTACGAGGACGGTGACCGGAATATATGAGGTGGCCCGCCAGTCCGCTATTATAGTTACGTAAAAAGAACCCTTTAAAATGTTATTTATTTATTCAACTTTATGCACAAACGTACAGTGGTGGCCTTAATGCCTAAGGCATTCGTTACGAATCAATCAAGGGTGTTGTAGAGAGTGCTGTGGTATGTGCGAGTATTCCATATTGAGAAATAAAAAATTTATAGAATACATAGGTATCTATTTGTGTAACATAAAACGTATACTAGGCGTCAAAAATAATTTTATTCCTTAATTTATCTGTAGTGTTCCAGTCCATCTCTAGGAGATGTATGGAAATGGTAGTGCAAGGTAGAGGGGGAAGAGGTTGACCAAAGAAGACATGGATGTAGTGTGTGAATGAGAAAGAGGAGTGAGTTTTTAGGTGACGGCTGATAGAGGAGAATGTTATAGAAATATACGCGGGATAAGGTAGAGGCAAAGAAGAAGAAGATCTTCATCTCTTAATGACGTTAGTATGGCATAAGTATAGTGAGGTTTCAAAGCAATAAATTCTATCCTAATCCTCAATTTCCGCAAGACTATCACTGGGTAAACTCCATCAAGAAATTATTGTGTTTATCGGTGTTCATGGGATGGAAACTATTGCGTTTCATTCGTTTGTTCATATGACAGTGTAAGTACTGTGTAGGATTCCTACAATTTCTATAGAAGGGTCCTTGACCTATGATAAGACGCCCCGTGTGCTCGTATCGAGTAATACGACAATGCCAGGATTCATATTTTAAATAGTTTTTTTTCCCAATAAGAATAAACATAAAATAAGAATTGAAACACGAACCTGTAGTGTTTTTTTTTATTGCTTACTAGCTAACCCGGCAGACTTCGTAGTGCCTCAATCGATAAATAAAAGACCTAAACTTTTGTATAAAATAAACTTAAAACAAACAAAAGGAATCCGTCCGACGGGGACACATCAAAGGAAAAACAAAATTGTTTGTTTTATACAATTTCGAGCATTATCATATTTATTCACATTTTAAACCTTTTCTGGACTTCCACGAATAATTCAAGACCAAAATTAGCCAAATCGGTTCAGCCGTTCTCGAGTTTTAGCGAGACTAACGAACAGCAATTCATTTTTATATATTATAGAGATTGCGTGATTAGTTGAGACTGCTTCACGGCAGAAATAGGCAAGGCGGTGGTGGAGGTCTTACCACCAGTAAATGTAATGTAGGTATATGTCCCTTCATTGGAATATTCACATTGGCACATTTCGACTTAGAAAATATTTTATGTAAAATGCTATTACCAGCCAGTGCATGAACACGTCTACTCATCTAGGGCAATAAAAAGTAAGTACCTACATAAAATATATTCCAGTGAGTAGTCCGAAAATGCAAAATAAATGAAACTTCAGTTGAACAAAGAAATCTCTATTATTATGTATTGTTACAAGTTATCAAAACATTAATTTCTGATAATTTAAATTATTGTACTAATATTGATTATCTAGTACATTTATTGATTTATTTGTTGTATTTAATTGAAGTGCCTATAGCGTGCTAACTGGTGCTGACTGGCCAGTTTTCGTGTGGTGTTGTCGCGTATTAGAAATCTATTTTCCAGGAATGCGTAAAACTATACTCACTGATAAATTGATTTAAAGTTAGACAGTCTAAAATAATAAGTCTAAGAGGTGCTAATGATTAAGGTACTTGTTAAATAAAAAAATAATATAAGTATTTTATTAGGTACAGATTCTGATTTATCAATCAAAAGTAAGTAAAAATTCAGAGGTAATGTGGCGTAGGCTTGTGTCTAGGTAGATCATAAGCGGGCCAAGAAGAATAATACGATCCAATAAAATACTTACTTTGAGCTAAATCTAGAAATATAGGCATCCGATCAGACGGACATGACTTAGAGCCACAATGTCTATTGGTTTACAGCTATGATTAAAATCTCTTCTTATCAATAACAGGATATTTTGTATTCGTTGAGTACACAATTCCGCGCCGCATTCATTTATTATCACGGAATTTATTTCGTAGCAACTCTCCAGTCCGCGTCCTTGCAGTTATTGTAGACAAAGCGCGTCGTGAGCACGTGTCTCGCGTTAAACACTGCTAAAAAACTCATGTAATCGCCATGGCCGCAGGATTCGTTGGTTCAACGAAGAATTTTCCATTCTCGTTCGATGTTGATGTGGAAGATGAAGAGCCGGGCAGGACAACGCCACTATTGAATAAGCGAGTCGGTGAGTAGGTACTCAGTTTGCGAGTAACACAGCGTGGTTTGTTAATTTGTTTGTCGTTTGTCAGTTTGTTGACAAAATATTATTAATTGTTAGATCAATGGTCCCATAAATGTGACGAATCAAAGATGAAATTTTAATGGAAAATAATTAAGTTTTTATAATTATATTTAAAAAAATTAAAAATATGATCAGATGAAGTAATAAAACGGAAAAACTAAAACGCGTGTAATATGTGGCGTACCATATGACTAATTAAGAATCATTTCGAAAATAAAAATCAGCTGTTTTCATTTTTTACATTTCATTTCAACTACATATAAAAATCCCAAGAGACTAACATGATTTTCATGCTTTGTTTTTAGTTATTTCATTAGAATTAATGCGTAAATTCATTCTTGTAATAAGCCATACAAAGCTACCAGTACGACTTGACACTGAAATGCTGTGACACTGGCTGCCATACGAAAATATACTTTCAGGACTTCGTATCTACGTTGAAATGCTAACTATTTTATTCCGCCGCATTGCCAGATCAATATCTATGCACAGCTGACCGGCTCGTGTGTCTAAAATATGTATTTACAACTCCTATTTTATAATAATCTAATTATATGAAAATATCTGTGCGATATTCTACCGCGAACTTGACCTAATTTGGGCACATTACTATTTGTTAGATATAATATTTAATTGATTGATTATAACTTACTCAAATTTATAAGACAGAGTTTTCTTGATCTTGGCGTTCTATTATACATATTATTATGAGTTTTTTTTGTCATTAGCTGAGACTCATGAGACGGACTCATGCTTACGGCCCACGCGGTATCTTCAGTTGATCTCCGGAGTCCGTAGAAATAATGAATATCCAACCGTTCCGGAAGGCGTTATTACTTCGAGTTCAAAATAGGCAGTAGGATGTACCAAACCGTGAGAAATTCAAACACCAGGAGAATTGTGACCTACAAAAATGCCTATGGCGACTTACAAAAAAAAAGAAGTTAATTCATGATATGGAATCTCCATAATTGGCATAAACAGGCTCGTGTTTAACATATTTTAGGCTCTGGATATAAGAAAAACGGGGCCACGGCGACTATAATCTGACTGTAGAGCAGTAAAAGAGCTGCCATATTAAAATCAGATGTATTTCCCTTATAACAATCGAAAATAATTTGTTATTTGTTGATGAAGTGTTAGGAGGTCCTGTGAGATCTCAGGCCGTGAGTGAGGGAGGGCTACAGTGGCACTAGATAACATGGCGGTATTCCGATTTAGATTCAATAACATCAAAAATGACTCCTTTAAAATTCTTTATGTACTCGAGGTAATCGATTTTAATTTTATACTTTTGGGAAGTGGTTTGGTTTCACCCCGACATTAACACGTGTATTTAGTGACGGTGACCGTTCACGATCAGATGAACTGTATGGTCATTTTACTACAATGACAATAAACAAAACTCTTTGAAGTGAGTTAACGTCGAAACTGTGGTTCAGAACCTATTTGGTGTTGAAATCGAAGTTTATATTTATTTCGACTGATTTCCCGATCTCTGTCATCTGTATAAATACCAAAAGGTTATTTCTGGCCATTATAATCCAGAAAATACACCGAGATTCTTAATTTAGATCAATCGGCAGTTAGTATCAATAAATCTTTTCATAACGAATTTATACGCCCACTGAATTACGAGCAAAGAGAACATATTATGTTTATTTAACCACTTCACACGCCTGAGTGTTGTCCTAGAGCTTTTGTTGGCTATGAATGAATTGAATAATGTGACTGTGATGTTGAATGATGTGAATGACAATATAATGACCGTATCCATGAGTATATCACTAAGGGGGCTTGAAGGATATAGATTAGGTAAGGGTTCCTCAGGTGTTAGGCAAGTTACAAAGATGATATAACTACAATGGCACGGCAGCATTATTATGGTCAAGGTTTCTGAAATACTAATCGAAGATTGACCTTTACGATGAATATTGTTCCTATTTGTTCTCTGATCCGCGGGCCCGAGTGTGGGAAAATCACGCTTATTATTATTATACACTATAAATAAACACCCCCCCCTTCCTCCCTTACATCGTGTTCCTCAGTGTTAAGGGTCGTGACCTTTACGGAGAACTTTTCTTAGGTCTATGTTCCACCATTCTTTCCTTTCCTCTGCGCAGTGGATAGCGACATTGATGCTGGAATCCAATGTCGTCTTAATTTGATTGGACCAGCGCATGGGACTACGCCTCCTAGCCCTCTTTCCTTCCACTTTGCCGATGTTGAGTAGTTACTAATATACACTTAAAGATTAAAAGTGATGATTTTTATGATGATGATGATGATTACCTCGAAAAATACCCTACGCTTACTTCTATTTGACTCAATACAGAAAAGAACCGTTCAGCTCATTGGCAGTCTTTGTTCCACGGATAGTTAGTTCCACCTTCCTATCTACGGGCTGATTTGGTCATTCTGTATTTTGGTTTTCTATTTACCGTATGTTCCATGGGGAAACGCTTTGGGAATTTGTTCGAAATTATCTCTTATTGTTCTTTAGTCATTACACTAAATTCTACCTGAGCAAAGTTCAATGTATCTACTTAGAAATACTGTATTTTTTCATATTTTTCGAGAATTCATTTTTAGAGCGTCGTGACGTTTCTTGCTGCAAACCAGGTTTGAAAAGAGTATTGCGGTTTTAGGTGTGTCCTTGGCATTTTCAATATTTGTAAGGAATGGTCACCACACGTAAAATACCAACTTAAAACCCCTTTAGCTATAATAGGTATTAACTGTTTATTTAAGACCTCATCGAGTATCACGTGCACTCAAAATTGCTTTCAAATGGAATGCTGCCTTTATCAAACAAATAAAATGGTATGCTTTCACACGCTTGTTTAAGACGTGAATATAGTGTATAGTATGCATTGTTCGGTATAATGAGCTGTAAACAAGCTACTGATAGTGAAATTAGGCCTCATTGCTTCATTGCTTACTTCATCAATAAAATAGAACGACCTTGTTTGTAGATACGCATTTTATGTTTCGCTTACGTATTTATAAGTATGTTATAGTGATCGAACCACTGAGTTTCTCCCCGGATCTTCTCAGTGGATCGCGATTCCGACCCGGTGGTAGATTCTGCGAAGCACTGCTCTTGCTAGGGCTGGTGTTAGCAACGTCCCCAGGTTAGAGCCCAGAGAACTCACTTACTCGTTAGATTACGCTCACATAGCCTCTCAAGGCTACCTGGATAGGTTAGGAAAAAAAGAAGGAGAAAAAGTAATCGAAAGCCAAACAACTGTCAATATCGAAGGTATTGGCGGGTGCATAAAATTTAATTTACTCCCCTGAGCCACGAGGTCAAACCTACTTTTTTTTCATTGCCCATTGTAGGCAGACGAGCATACAGCTCACCTGATGGTGAGTGGTTACCGTCGCCCATGGACTTCAGCAATGCCAGGGGCAGAGCCAAGCCGCTGCCTACTTTTGAGTACTCTCCACAAGCCTCGTTTGAAGAAAGACAAGTCGTAGCGCTCGGGAAACACCGTGGAGGGGAGCTCATTCCATAGCCGGATGGTACGTGGCAAAAAAGACCTCTGGAAACGCACTGTGGATGACCGCAGTGGCTCCAGGTAGTATGGATATACTTTACTCCGGTGGCGGGTGGTGCGATAGCAAAAACGAGATAATGGAATCATCTCAAATAATTCCTCGGAGCACTCTCCATGGAACATACGGTACATAGAGAAGCGAAGTCCCTCCGCAGACACAGATGTTCCAAACGATCTGTCTTACTGCTAGTGTACGACGTGCCTTAAATCCACTAAATGGGTGACATCCTGTTTGAATAGCAGTTCATAGGAGAGCACTTTCAAAGGTTCATTATCATGCTTCCTTTGATAGACTGTCTGAAAGAAATTACAAAGAGTAGGTTTGATGGCTTGTAGCTTACTTGTCAAGTTTTCATACTCTCTTCGAGTACGTGTTCTGCGTATGTTTGCTTTAGTTGAAAGCTGCTGTACTGACTGCTGTATCCAATATATATTTTTTATTTATTGCGTAGATGGATGTACATACTCACAGCCTACCTGGTGTTAAGTGGTTATTGGAGCCCATAGACATCTATAACGTAAATGCCGCCACCCACCTTGAGATAAGAGTTCTAAGGTCTCAGTATAGTTACAACAGCTGCCCCACCCTTCAAACCAAAACGCATTACTGCTTCACGGCAGAAATAGGCAGGGTGATGGTACCTAGCCGTGCGGACTTACAAGAGGTCCTACTGCCGTCATTATACATCATTATACACGCTAAGTAACAATCAGCCTCGCATAGATTAAAACGATTAAATTGATAAGTCTAACAAAAAGATTAAATGGGCCATCTTGTTATACGTGCTTTTTGACTTATCTGTACGTTGCTGAGAACAATTTTATTATCATTTAAGTACATTCTTTTTGATAACGAAGTGTACCACGCTTGTGCCAGAATCCCATCAATGCACCGTTGCTTAGGAATATAACGAATAGCCGAGTCTAATAGAATTAGTAATATAGTTATACAGTAGTCTGAACACCTATTTATTGTCTGGTGATTTCAGTGTAGAGCCGTACCAATAACGCAGATGTATTTTCAGGAACAATTTCCGAGATCTACTTCATTGAAACTTGTACCATAAAAGTGCCCGAAATAAGTATGTACTTCACTGGTTTTTTTTTTTGGAAAAGTTAATGCAAAAAAGAGTAATGTAAAAAATCTATTCAAGATCCTGGTCGAAAGATAATCATACAAACGATCTTCAAGCTTTTATGATATCCGCTACACTCAATGGGATAAGATACGAACTGTATGGGATGATAAGATAAAACATTTAACATGTTACTATGTCATTTTATTTTTTACTGGTGATAGAGTATATTTTGAATAGAATTGGACGACTAATGCTAAGTAATCGACCGGACACTTGAGCTTGAGGCCGTGTAGACGAGCTCACG